TAATTTGATTCAACCAATGTTTGAACGATAATTTTTTTATTCTCTGCTCACGAATATTGATCAATTTCAGTCTTGGTTAAATAAATCTCTCGTATGTTTCCAAAACCCAGGATAATTTTCTGTATTAAAGTGCGGGCAACTGTTCATAAATAATATTCTGTGATTTATCACAGAGAGAAAATTGAAATGTGATGATATAAGAAATATCTCATAAAATATAAATATGTAATATGAAGTAGCTCAGCAGCAGCTGAAAGCGTTAAAGGCTTTTCCGTTCCTCGCATACGGCGGGTAAATAATACACGCGTGATATTTATTCTGCACCGTGCACCGGTAGAATGCAAATTAGTATTTACTGTAAATTCAGTCGGGCGTCGAATCAACAACGATCGCTGATGCGAACACGCATGATGCAGCGACTCGGAAGCGGATTTACTTCAATGTGAGTATAAATACGGATCGGGATATTTAGTACATGCTATATCGCATAACGAGAAAGATCGAGATTAAGCACCTGATTACACGACAGTTAAGTCATCTTACAATTAAATATACGACGGTGTTTTGTAAGTCTTTCGCGATGATGTTTCGAAAGTTGTTATTCGAAGCGAGATAAATCTGACGTTCTGAAGTACGTTCTGAAGGGATAAATCGTATCGTCCCGTTTCCATTTGCTTGCTCCACCCCTATTTGCTCGAACGTCCGACATATATATTGATGATTGATGTTTGTTGTACAAGCCTATAATCGTTCTTTCTGTCGCGGATTCATGAGGAATGTGTCATTTAATCGCGTCATTGCTTCTATTACAACATAAAAAATATTTCTATGTCATGTCGATTTTCAGAACTAATCGAATAAACGTTACAAAGAAAGTGACTCGCGTATTCTCGCGGCTTATACTTCACGTATGATTACGATACCTTTGATAACGATATATTTTTCTTAGTGATAATCGATACTATTATTTACAAAGTAAGAAAAGATTCCATCGTAGGAGATAAAACCAAATTTTGTGGACTATTTGCTGTCCAAAATTCAATCTGCGTAAAGTTGTTGTACCTATTATTATAACGTGGAATGCAAATAGTAATAAAAATAATTGTGTTTGATAAAATATACGTGAATTATTATGATTATGGAAATTAATGAATAGCTAAAGCGATTAAATTACTTCTCTGTAAAATTAAATTAGTTGAATAATTGAATTGCGGTTTTTTAATTCTTAGATAGTAGATCAATAAAAAATATCATTGTTTTTCATGTGTTATAAATTGTATGAAATTGCAAAGACGGTACCGCGAAGCATGAAAGAACGATTGTCCAGCACTATTAGAATCTGTATCGCGATTTTGCCCATAGCGTAAGTTTTTATATTTGGTTCTTTACTTTCAGGTTTACACTCTTTATAGCCTATTTTGTGTACACTCTTGTGGCAATATTTCTTTAAACGACAGCCGAATTCACGTATTTTCAGCTTGAGATTGGTTACGCAAGCGAGTCTTGAGCGAGTTTTGAGTCCGGCGATATAAATCGCAAGTTTTGCTTTTTACGCGATATCATTTATTTTTACTATTACACTGCACACACAGATTGCTCGGTTAGTATTCACCCTGTAAACGTCACATTTTCATCCACACATTCTTCCCTCTCTGTCCGAACATTCTCTTTTTTTTTTTTTTCTTTAACGAAGTAACATTTTGGAAACCACTGGAAGGAAACGGAAGATACATAGATTTCTTAAGATATCAGGAAATAATTTTTAACTGTTGGGGTTACGTTTCCTCTCTCTGTACTTCTGTCCCTTTTATGATTTATTACTTACCGGTGATGGTTCTGCATAGTGAGGTGTATGGAAAATAAAATAATAAGGGAAGGCAACATGTGTGCGATTCGCACTGTATCTAACTCACGCTGATACTTACGCTTTCCCGACTTATTTTTCTCATTATCCCGGCCCTATTTAGAAGACTTTTCGCGGAACACCTAATATTTGCGTTGCGTTGAATGGTTTGTTCGCAGATATGAGAATGTCCTCGTCCATGTACGAGGTGTTCAATTGGAATTCTAGCCCCGATCCCCCCTTAACTCCTGCCAAGCATAAGAGAGCCAGCCTCTCTCTGCCCCCCACAACTGACATCTTTGCCGTCGATGATAAGTCCGATAGCGACACTAGGCGTCCCATGATTCAGCGGGTTGCCAGTGGTGAGTCCTGATCTCTCAGAAGCCTGCAAGAAAGCCGGAGAGATCCGTTTCTGTTCGTCATGAATATTGTCGATCCTTTACCTCTCGTTTTATTTAGCACTTGTTCTCGTCGGACTCTCTCCCTTTCTCTCTCGTGTTCTACGCCATTACGTCTTTCATTTACTTCACCACACACTCTATCAACGCATGTAACGTTCATTTAATACCGTATAAGAACATATTTCGCGCACTTTCTCTCATTCCGTAGCTCCTTTCCGATTGCATGATATTGGTGGATCAGGTGGATTTTACGATTTGTGAGTGAAACCATCTGAGTGCAACCAATATCACGCAATAATTAGTTTGCCTATCCGTATGCGATTCCTATTAATCTCGTTACTGACACGAACTAACCACTAGACACTATTAATATTTAGTTGCAACGTGCATTTTGCAAGCCGAACCTTTAGTTTGTTAGTTACGTAGTATGTTAATTAATACTTAGCTCAGTGTTATTTGTTAATGAATTCGTCGCGAATATTCGATCTAATAGGACGATTATCAGTCACAATCAATTTTCCATTTGTTTCATTAAAGCATATACCTCGCAATTCAACGTTTAACAATCAGTTTATTAACAATTACATACATAACTTAAGATATGTTCGATAATTTTCTATATAATAGAATTTAAATTGTAGTTTAGTAATAAAAGATAGAGTAATATTATTGCACGTTGTAACAAAGTACGGCGGTGAAAATCTAACTCAATTAATGATGTTAGTTAGTTAATTTGACGTAAACTTATAATCGTCAATAGTATAAAGTTTATTGCTTGCATAGATGGGTTTCTTGCTGTGTTTTTAAAACTTGTTTGATTAACTCTAATTGAATGTTATCTTTGAATGTTTTTTATGTGCTATTTACAAAAAATATCGTAATATATGTATTTTCTTTTATAATGTGTATATAAAATATGCACATTAAATTTGATATTTAAATAGTTACATGTGCTTTGATACATGATTTATGTACGTTGAGAGAATATTTTTTATCAAATAAATCGTTCAAAAAATATATATTTCTTTGTTCATAAAAATCTCTTCTCTCTTCAATTATATGGAAAATATACTAATTCTTTATCAAATTAAAATTTTAAGCAAACGCGAATACATTGTACTTTACAGCTATGAAATTCCGAATAAAATCTCTCTCAGTGTACTTCTCCGCATCATCCCCACACGCTACAGCATGAAAAGCAAAGCAACACAACCGCAAAGAAATAGCAAAAAAAAAAAAAAAGAGAGAGATGAGAATCTGAATGCGACCGAGTTGGCGCGTCAGAGAAACTCTTTACTCGAGTGTGCTTCTCCATCGAGCGAGCCGCGTCGCGTATCCCCACGAATCGATGGACGTCGCTCGTTTCGCAGTACGGGCGACACCCTAAGCGAGATTCTTTGCAGGTGATGATAGCGACGGTGGCACGCCCAGCACCCCGACCTCGGTTTACCTACGTGTGAACAGGAGACGCACCGACCTCATGCCGACGATACCGTCCCCGCGCGACGGCCCACCGTCGACGGCACGCAGCTCCAGCGCCAAGGCCTTCACACGTTCGCCAGGTAGGACTTACTCCATGTCCAGGCTGGATCAGCTGGCGCAGCCTAGGAAACGCACGACCGAGCAACAACTCGGCACGTTGGCGGAACAACAGCAAAGCCAGCCTCTGCAGAGCGCTTCTAGCATGAGTCGCAGCATGTCGCACTTGGCCGCGCCCGGAGGAGCCAAGAGTCTAAAACGCTCCGATAACTCGCGTAGCATGGGCACGCTACCGGGCGCGGCACCTATGCCCAGACCCACCCGTGCGGAAAGACTACGCCGAAAGGCTCGCGAGTACCAGCAGATCCAACAGCAACAAGGTAAGTGTGACTGTGCACTCAACTCGACTACTTCGAATCCTTCACTCGAAATCGAGCTTTTGTACATAGCAAAAGTATCTCCCATGATTACCAAAGAAATATATCGATACTTTTTTTCCATTCTTTGTATTATAAGCAAGTGTAGAGGTCTATCCTTAATTGTATAATTATAGATGAGCAATTATAGTTAATAATTATACAGTATAATTATAGTTAAGCGATAGTTCAATAATAGATCACATTTTTCTTTTTATATATAAAAACACTACAGTTTTATTCATTTATCTCGTAATATTCAATATCCTCTTTATGCGATATAACTTTCTCCGATCAACATTTGTAGCTTTTCTCAGAATAATTAATCATCCGCTTTGTACTAATTTTCTAGTCGATTTCTGTCACTGTATATAGTCAAATTGATCATTGCTTAATGACAAGCTTCGTAAGCTTGGCATATGGTTTTTTTTCAATAAAATGGGAAATAAATCTCATAAATCAAAGTTGAATCAAAATACAACACATGAATGCACTCACTGTCTAACAAGAAAACTTCAATCAGAGTTGGGTGCACACATGTATGAATAAGTGTGAAAAGGAGTCTTTGTAAGTCAATCGGGATGACCAACTTTATTTCACGGCGTGAACATGAAAGGAAAGATGTTCTTCTTCTAATTTCAAGTCGCGAAATATTAATTATTCTAATTTTTATCTATCTATTATACTTTCTCAGAGGTAATTAACCCATCGATTTTCGAAAATCTCTATACTTTTTATTATTATATTTTGATGGCAGACTCTTTTGTCACTTTTAACATCAAGAGCCGGTTGTATCAACAATCTGCATTAATTAAAGAACGGCTAAATTAATAATGTAAAGGAAGAGAATTTAATTAAAGCATTGTCAACGCGATTTTGATGCAGCCGGCTCTTTGACTTCCGAATTGATTAACAAAACGCTCCTGAGGAAGATCTCTTCAACGGCTTTTCGGTACCACGGGTGAAGGTATGAGCTAACATCCCGGTAAGCTGCACGTTTTTATACCTTATTATATCGCTATATAACTTATCTTGCAATTTTCACTTAGTATTATAAATGTATATATTCGTATTTGATGTGCAATTTATTCCTAATTAATTTACTTTTTATTCTTATTTTCAGTTCACTCTTTTTTGTATGATTATAATTTATGTTTTCTTGTTCTGTTGGCTTAATTATTCTTATTTGTATTGGCTTAGTCTGTTGTTTCGACTGTATTCTTTTCCTTCTTTTTTTTTTTTACTCACGGACTGCACTTGAACGTCGGTGGCGGTGCTTGTGTTTCTTGTTCACCTGCTACACCTCGCGTTCGTCACAACAACGTCACAAGCGCGATACGATCTCAATATGCAAAGTGTGAAAAGTACAAACGAGAAATTCATTTGCACCGCCGTGCTTCTCTATCAAAAGATCTGCGCGATCGCGTTCAAGTTTCCATCGAAAAGATCAACAAATTACTTACCTTGGGTGGATACGCGTAGGTATCCGCAGCGGCGAAGTGACACCCAACAGCCCGTCCCGACCGCACAGCTCCATGAGTCAACAGAGTGCCAGCAGCGTGGGCAGCAGTAATGTCAATCTGCGTACCCGTACGGCCGCGTCGCGCCGACCGCGGCCTGCTTCTATTGCCGGTACCGGTGTCTCGGTCACAGAGAAACACAGTGAGCATGCCCATTTTACTTCTCCTCCTACAGCCCTTTTACATCATACGAGGATCAGCGCGAAGGGATTAGAAAAAAAAAAGAAAAGAAAAACAATGAAACCTGAATCCTCGATTAACGAAGATTGTAGAGCACTACTACACTGTTGGAGTAATTAGGTCGAAAAGGAGATAAATATTGTATAAAAATTATTTTTATGCCTGTAATCCAAACAAATATTCTAAAAGATACATATATACATGTCTAACGACATCTCGGCTTTATCCGAAATTTTTTTCTTCGTATATCTTTTCTTCTCTTGAACAATATATTTTTTTATAAATTTATATTTTTTTTTCTACGAAATTTATATTTTATTATGTTTTAATGAAATTTTGCTTTTAAATTCCTATTTCCAACCTCTTGTATATATCATTTTTGTTCACGATTGTTAGAATTGCACATGTAAATACTGTAAATGTATGTACCCAAGAAGCTTCACATGCGATAGAATAGAAAATATCCCCGATTGTTCTCATTATCGCAGATCTGGTGGACACGAAATTAACGAAGGATTCAAAGCCACCACTGCCAAAGGTCCATAGCACTCCAAAGAAACCTTCTATACCCAAAGTCGCGGAAGTGAGAAAGCCGACGGAGAAATTAATCAAGAACGCCAAGTCATCACCGCGAATAACTCCGAAAGCGACACCCCTGCAAAGTCCCGGAGCTGAGCACGCACCACTGATTCGCGAAACTAATGTGGAGATCATAAAGCAGGATGAGAATAAAGAGACGCAGAATGTGAAATTGGAGGATAAAAATGAAGAAAAGAAGGATCAGGGTAGCGAAAAGACACAGGTAAATTTCAATATATAATTTTTACGTAGTAAAAGATGTATATTGAAATTTTAATTTTAATTTTTTTCCAACAGGAAGCGAATATTGTCGAATCTATAACTAATGATACAAAGATAGGGACAGAACCTGTGTCGGCAAGCAAACAAGTCAAAGACGAAACTAATTTAATGCAAGAGAATCTATCAGGTGCTATTGCGGAAGAACCGTCGAAAATTACTAAAAAGGAAGAAAACAAACAGGAAAATAAACAGGAGAAGAAATCACCAGAGATGACTGAAATCAAGCTTGAAGGTGAAACGGACGAGCAAGTTGACATGTCAGGTATGATTAATCAAAATTTTATCGATATCGCGCGCGAATGATTTGTGACAAACTTGATTTAATGGACTCTATTTATCTATATTAATTCACATTACAGCTTCAATGATTGCGAAAATCAGAATCACCACCGAAGAGGAAGCAAAAGCCGCTTTGGCTGAACGTAGAAGATTAGCTCGAGAACAAGCGGAACGAGAAGCGGAATTGGAGCGCCAGCGACAGGTATATACCATCTACAAAAACAATTTAATATTAGACCAATTTAGCTTTTATATCTGTCGTTTTATGTATAACGATTTCCGTAGGAGGAAGAAGCACGTTTAGAAGCTGAAAGATTACGCGCGGAGGAAGAAGAGCAACGTCGTCTGGAGGAAGAAACTATACGCTTAGCTAATGAAGCTCGAGAAGCCGAGGAACAGCGATTGCAATTAGCAATCGAAGAAGCTAAACGTCGTGAGGAAGAAGATAGAAGAAAAAGAGAGGAGGAAGCTCGCCAGAAACAAGAAAAAGAAGAAGCAGAACGCAAAGCGAGAGAAGAAGCAGAAAAGTTGGTTTAGAATCTTCTCCTTCTTTATCTTTTTGGAAAACTAATAATAGTTAATTACATGATGAGATACCAATATATTTAAATTACAGACAACGAATCGAGATGGCTGAGAGGCTTAAGAAGGAAGAAGAGGAGCGCAACGCCAGACGCAAACGAGTCGAGGCGATTATGCTTAGGACTAGAGGCAAAAATCAAACTAATACGTCTACCAAGGTAATATTAGAAACATTTATATAAATATATTAATGCTTCTATTAAATTAAAAAATTATTCAAATTAATTATATTGGAGCAATTCATCCAGACTAAAATTTATATATAAATTAATAAATTAATTGACAAAATTAAATAATTTCTTACGACGAATATGTACAGGGAGAAGGCGGTGATGGCGACAAGCTAAAAGAAGACAGCCCTACCGACGAGAATAAACCGATGCCGGACGGTAAAGGCGACGACGTCATGACAGCTAGTTTAATTTCCGAGGCGACTCAGCAATTTATCAGCAGCGAACAACGGGCGCATCACACAGAAAACAGTGTATCTGCACCTGATATAGTGCACAACGGCACGACACATAGCAACGGCATTAACGAAAATAAAATCGTATTGGATAATAATCAGGGTAACGTTGAAGGAGAATTGAACGGTCATCATACGAATCACGGAAATGGTATCAACAGTCAATCGATTACGCTGGACAATGCCACTGTGTAAGTATACCAATTCTAAACCACGGAATCGTAAACGTGTTATACCTTCGTCGACCGAGAGTTATAAACATATGCGTCTTTTCTCGTTAGATCGATGGACAATAATATATTGTAGTAATAACTTGTTTTTTGCGGTAACGTAATTTAATTGGGCATTAAGGCATATAATTTTCGATTGTGATTCAAAAGCGTTCAAGATCAATTTTAGATGCAACATACGCTGCTAAAATCCATTTTTATTATACGATTGAAAAATACATCCAAAAATATATATATTGAAGGCAAGAGTGTAATATCAAGGAGATTTAATTTTTTTACGTAACAGCGAAAGTATCTTTTAAGCATGATAAGAAAAATAAACTTGAACAATCTTCTATTGTATTTAATTACTCAGAAATTAATTTAATAGTTAATTGTGAAATAACTATGAAACAGATAGGTAAAGTGCAATATCACTTACGTTTGTATAGGGCATAAGTAATTGCACGATACTAGCCAATATACTATTTAATTCAAATGGACTGATTATCACAAAGTCAACAGTATAGCTACTCGATCGAAAAAAGAACTTAAACGTTAAATAAATATCATACACGTAAGATATCCGACTAATCCGCAATAAAAAGATCAACTTTTAAATATTGCACGTAAAATGAATTAAAAACATATAAAATTCTTATTTACATAATATACAATAAAACCTACGCATTACAGAAAATTAAGAAATCAAATATTGCTATGACATCTATTAAAAAAAAAATTTCCGTATAAAGATTTCTTGAGTACATTATATAATTTAAATCTATAGAGAATACGTGCCACGCCAAATGTATTAAATTAAATATTGTACGCTTTTATTTGTAAATAGGTGTGATAAAAATTCTATAATGTAGTGATAAATCACAATGAATTATTATCGCACTATAAACAGATTGATTATTTCGAATTTTAGATTTGTACACATACATAGAGGGGTTCTATCAGATTCCGAACCGGCAAGAGGGATTCTATCAAATTCTGAAATGGCAATTATTTGAACTTGTATTTATGGTTGAATGTAAAATTGTTAGATGTATTCTTAAAAGCTTTATTATGAAAAGCATTGTATATATAATAAATTGTGTTGTTTATAATTGTGTCTTGTAATATCGGTTAACTATTGAAGTGAATTAAGT